CCTGGCGCCGAGACGGGCGGGGGCGCGAGGTCGGAGGGCCGAGCCTCCGGGTCCCGAGCGCTTGGAGCGCGGACGGGAGCCCGCGGGCATTGTGTGCAAGCGGGTTATTTTCCTGGAGTGAATTTTGGGAGTTTGACCCCGTTGCTCGAGTCATCGCTGCGCCGTAACGCCGGTGAACTGCTTCTCGTGGCTCGTTCCGGTCGGGCGGAGGTCTGCAGGGGCTTGTAACTCGTGTGGGTCAGGGCCCGGGACGGCATGCTGGGAGTTGATTCCCTTCTGGGCCTGTGTGTTCCTAGGTCCTTGACTGGCACCGCCTGGCCCTCCTGAGCCGGAACCATCTGGCCCAGCATCTGCTTCCTTTGCGAAGACAGAGACAGACTGCAGCTGCCTGGCTGCATCCACTGACTGCAGCCGCTGGTGAGCGAAGCCATGAGGAGGCATCTGCTGTTGGATCCAGAAAGTACACGCGGTGGCCAGAATGCAGGACAGATGTCCCTCGAGGTCTCCCAGAGAAGCCAAAGAGTCCTGTGAAAGAAGGGGCCGCGGGGCGGGAGGTCGTCACCCGGGCCCTCGTGGACATGGGCTTCAACGATGCCCACATCGGAGAGCTGCTCAGCATACAGCCAGGCCCCAGCCCCCAGCAGCTGCTGGGCATCACCTCGGAGCTGATCCTCTTGGGTGTGAATCCAGAACCTGTGTGCGTGGCCCTGAAGAACAGTCCTGAGCTGCTGAAGCTGCCCATAGAGTGGGTGAAGCGGCGTGCCGGTTACCTGCGGAAGCTGGGCCTCAGTGAAGGTACGAAGGGTGTCAGATCTGGGGGGACGGGGTGTAGTATGCAGGGCTAGGGGTCGTGGTGGGGAGCAGCCAGCGCTGCTGAGGGGAGTGTGTGATGGGGCTCGGGTTGGGAGAAGGAGTGACCTCAGAGGAACCGCCTGCAGGATGTGCTGGGACAGGGAGAGAGAGCTGAGTGACAGCTAATGGACTTGACCAGCTCACTCACTGTGGGGTGTGGCCCTGCTGGTTTCTGTTCTCAGGGATCCTGGTTGCCTTGGATCTCTGGGTGCTCTGGAGAGAGCCGCTGTCCTTCACCAGGGTCTTCAAGGACCGCTCCCCACTTGGATCAGAGTGGCTCCACTATGATTTCTTTTCATTCTTGACTCTTTCTTGTAAGAAGGAGTTGGGGAAGGGGCTTGGAGACCTCACCATTTCAGAGTATCTTTTTAGGCCTTTACCCAGAAGTTAAGCAAAAAACATTGCCTCATTGCCGTGTACCATAAACAAACAAAAATTATGTACCACAGTTGTAAACTCACTATGGGCTTCAGAGAAGAAGCTAAACCCCGAATTCCTAGTGTTTGTTCCTCACACATTCTAACACCACAACCTTGACATGAGGGGATCCTCACCTGGATCTCAAATGTTGGTATAAAGTGGGTTTCTAAGATACCTGGGCTCATGAGTCTTTTTCCTAATACTCTATAGGGAAGCTGAAGCGGGTGCTGCACTGTTGCCCAGAAATTTTCACCATGAGTCAGCGGGACCTGGCCAGCACTGTCCGGGTTCTCCAGGAGAAGTGCCTTTTCACCATACAGCAGGTGACGGAAGTTTTGCACAGGTGTCCCTACATTCTTCAAGAGAGCCCCGCTGACCTGGAGTACAAATTCCAGGTGAGAGGGAACTGACAGGGGCCTTGGGATATGGAAATGCCCACTGAATAGCTGAGTAGCTTTGTGGATGGAGTGAATGGGCTTGTTCACACATTCTGGCCAAGAGGATCTGGCCCCATGTTGTCCACCCCTTTACTGCCAAGCAGACCTAACTGGCAAGCCCCGTTCTCAGAGCCAGGTTGGGACACTGCTAGAAGTTTGAAATGGCTGACACCTTTCTGTCTTTTAGGAGCCTTTTTGGGGTAGTGCATAGTGTATCTGTCTGCCAGCAGAAAGGCCACTGGTCACGTCATGAGAGGAAGCAGGGCAGTTTTCCTGCCTTTGGGCCGTTGCTATGAGTTGGAACCAACTCAAAGACAGTGGGAGCGGGCTCCCCTGCCTTGCGTTTGACCTGTTTGTTTCTACGGCTATTGACGATGGATCCAAATCAAATGAAATTATTGACAACTTCAGTATTTTTAATTTTTGTTTCTATTTTCATTTTTACTTTGTTTTATAACAATAATTCCCAGTTTTAGTTCTGTATTCATTCTTTAGATTTATTTTTTGCTTTAAGTAGATTTAAATGCAGCACAGTTATTTAAGTTTAATGAGGATTATCATGCATCGAAATCCTTCATAAACTGTAATATGCTAGAGAAATGTTCTAATGCGGAAGTACATTCCACTCTCACAGTTTTCCTGTCTTTAGGACCTATTTTGTATGTTTATGGAAATACAGAAGCAGCTAATGTTTTTAGAAGCAGACCTAATATTTTTGGTAACAGTTGTAATAGGCTTTGTCAAATTCCTGGATGCTTTTTGAAGGTTTTTTGTATTCTTTTCCATTTTCATATTTTTTTTTCTTTATTATTTTCTCCCTATCTGGAAAAAAAGGTATTTCTCCCTCCTAGTCCTTTATTTGCCATCACATTTTTTCCACTATGAATTTGAAAATTGCCATTGTGACTATTTTGTTACTGCTAATCAGGCCCTCCTCTCTGATTGCCTGTGGCAGGCTGGGGTTGCAGGGGCTAGGGTGCTGGTCTGTGTGGTTCCTGCCTGGCCTTCATGAAGCCTGTGTCTCTTGCAGTATGCTTATTTCAGGATGGGGATTAAGCACGCAGATGTGGTGAAGACTGGCTTCTTGCAGTACTCTCTCATCAGGATTAAGCAAAGACACATTTACCTGGAGCGCTTGGGACGCTACCAGACCCCTGATAAGAAGGGCCAGACGCAGACCCCTAACCCGTTGCTCAAGGACATCTTCAGAGTCTCTGAAGCCGACTTTCTGGCCAGGACAGCCTGCTCCTCTGCAGAGGAGTTTGAGGTTTTTAAGAAGCTGTTGGCTCGAGAGGAGGAAGAGGGGTGTGAAAGCTACGGGTCTGACCATGACAAGAATATTGGCTTGGATGAATACACAGATGCGGACTTCACAGATGGAGAGCAATGAACTTAAAAGAGCCCAGAGACATTAAAGGATGATTCATTTTACCAAGCTCTTGGGAGCTGCACTAGGGTCTTCTCAAGTTACTGTGCATCTGAAGCCTGGCCTTTTGATGAAAGCGTTGTTCTTAGTCCCGGGAGGCTAACCAGAAAAGGGGCTGTCTTGGTTTTAGCTGCTGTGGGGTGTCTGTGGGCGAGAGACTGACCATCGGTTGTTGGGATCCGGGAGACATGGGAGCTTGAAGTATAGCCTGACTTGTTTTCTCTTGAAACACGTTGAATGGTTATTCCATGACAGTGGGTAGGATGAGGTTCCTGTGGGATCCGAAGCTAGAATCATGAGAAGGCAGTGAGGTTTTAGTACATGACAGCGTTTTATTTTATGAAAATAACGAGCAGGTTTTCTGCAGCAATACTCAGGTTTTTAATCGGGAAGCACCTTCCTACTTCATAAATGTGTTCAGTGCATAGCAGGGTGAAGGGAGTGGGCCAGTGAGAGGACGCTGGCTTTAACTTGGGGGCAGCTGCTGCCGTGACCTGTCGGGCTGTGCTTTTCCTGCGTGCTGCTGGCCCATCGCCTGGTGCTGGCCTCACGGTGCTCCAGGCTGGGGGTTGCTGGCAGGCCCTGAACCTTTGCCCATCAGGTGCTGACAGAACACACTGCAGAGTGCCCGAGGGTCCAGCAGTTGATCCTCTCCTGTCTTGGGGGAGACATTCTGGGAATGACCATCTCATGGTGCTGGCCCTGGATGGAGCCTAAGCTCTGCTCTGCTCACGTGCTTACCATGACACTCCAAGGCTGGGGGTCACCGCAGGAGCTCAGTGGGCATGGAACGAGGCCTGGCTCTTAGGGACCAAAGGAGTCATGTTCTCCAGAACGTTCTAGAGTCTAAAACAAGATGGATGCCGCCGGAAGTGTCAGATACAGTCAGTTTGCCACTGCAGTCCTCTAACAGCTCTGTGGCCCCAGTGCTGGGAAGCCCTGAGGGGACCCTTGGGGCAATTGAAACTTTTGTTTTCATGACTGGAGATGGTGTTGATAGCTTCCCAAGTTGGGGTGCACAGCACACCCCCACAGTGATAACCCCTAGCCGAAACACAGACCGTTCTGAGAGATCTGGAAAAGCCAGGTGAGAGCCATGTCCCCAAAGTTGCAAGACTCTTGTGGCCTCGTGCTGTGTGGATTGTATTTCAAAGTAACTGGTGGGGTTTCCAACAGAGCCCTCCTCTCTGGGTGCAGGACGGCGGCTGCCCTGCAGGTCTTATTTTACCCTGCCAGGTGATGCTGGCCTGAAGCATTTGTGCAGGAGGACCATTCAGCATAAGTCCGGGGGCCGCTCCCCCACTGGGCCTGGGGCTGTGTTTTAGCAGAATCAGCAGAGGGGCTGCAGAAGGCTGGCTGTCACAGGAGACAGTACCGCCGCAGGGAGGAGTCTGTCTACACCTGGGACAGCCATGTGGAGCAAGGGAAGTTAGGCCCTGCTGTTCACGTGGGCGTGGGCAGACATTTGGCAGTGTTTTCGTGCCCTGCCTCTGGGCGTCTGAGTGATCAATAAGCTGCTCTCCTGTCCAGTGAAGGGTCAGCGTCACATGTTGCATCTGTGCTCGATCCAGCCATCAGCTCCTCTGAGTTTAGAATGACCTGTGGTTTTCTCAGTTATCCATCTTGTTGTGAAAGTAAATCCTGACTGGTAATTTTTTTTTTAACACGTTGCTGCAAATGATGGCAAAATGTGTGTCTAAGCATGGTCATCAATTTAAAAGTGTGCGGCAACGTGTTAACTGATAAATTTTGACTGTAACTTCCTTGAGAAATTCTAGGCGGCCTATGAACATTTTCAGAGAAATGAGAGATTTAAGGATGAGTCCTGTAGGATCAGGTCTTTTTACAGGCATCTCTCTCTAAACTGCCAAGCTGGGTTGCAGCACAAAGCTCGTCACGGCACAAAGCTCAGGGCACCAGACTGGATGGCAGCCAAGGGCTCAAGGTCATGGACATGGTGTGGGTGCTCAGGACTTTTCCAGTGACTTCACTTGCTCTCACATTTGCTGGCCATGCTCTGGGCTGCGTATGCAGCAGTTGGCCCAGCACGCAGAGGTTCATGTAGGCACTTTCTCACTTGCTGAGGCCAGAGCCTGCAGTCTTTGGATGGGTGGAGATTTCTACATAACAGTAGACTTAGAATAACTGTTCACTTTTCTGACAGTGACAAATTGCATAATTCACAGACATGTGCCCCCAAATTTAATATGAATAAAAAAGCTAAAATAGACTCTTAACAGAACGCTTGCCAACATCTGTGTAAACGGAGAACAGCCTTCCTGTGGCCGTGGGGTGAGCCTGGCAGGTGCAGGTGCTCAGGCACTCGGCTTCCAGCTGGGGTCAGTGGTCAGACTCGCGTGACACCAGCCGGGCAGTTGCTTCCAGAGAGCGGGCAGCTGTGGAGAGGTGGGCCGGTGCAGGTACTGTTTGTAAGGAGGGATGCTGTGAAGAGAGGGTCCACTGCGTGACAGCCTCGTTAGTAGTGGTGTGGGCTCTGAGCACGCGAGTGTCCCCTCGCCCACCTCCCTCTGGGTTGGAGGCCTGGCCGGGAGAGCCGCTGTGCCAGCTCCCCTTTCCCAGCAGGGTGTGGACAGCATGCCCCTGAGTTCACAGAACTGGCACTTTGGTGTCTGGGCACCCGTTGCCTCTTCAGAGAGACAGGCCTTTATTATCTCGCAGAGCAGGAGGTCATCAAACGAGCCTGTGGGTTGTGTCTAGCCTGCTGCATGCTTTTGAACAGGAAGTTTAATTAGAACCAACCCCATCTAGTTGATCCCACGAGCTCTGTAGCTGCATCTGTGCTAGTGGCAATAGAAAGATTCAATCTGCTGACCCTGCCTCAGACCAAGTCTGGACTCCACAGCATCTTTCAGAGTTTGCTGGTGCGTAGAGTGGGCCCTTTGCATCAGTACTTGCAGGTAGACAGGTAAGGGACCACCTGCGTCCCTTGGCAGTGCCAGTTCCAACTGGGGAGCTGGTGGGCTTTCCTCCCAGCTCTCAATGCTAGATCTAGGGCCTGGCGCTGCTCTCTGTGGTCGGAGCCGGTTTCTGAGAAGGACAGTGCCTGGCCCACCTGATGTCCTTGGGGCTGACAGGTGTGCTATATCACCTCCAGTCACAGCAGGGGCTGCTCCTTTCATGCTGGGCTGCTTCAGAGGTCGTGGTCCTTCTGTGGTGCCTGGCTCACCCAGTTCAGTCTCTGCTGTGAGTTGGGTCCCCAGTACTCCTGCTGACCGAGCCAGAAGAAGCACTGGCTGTTGGAATCCACCCACAGAAGTCTCCTCACATGCAGTTTACAGCCTGGGACAGCTGCTGCAGGCAGTAGGAGTTGACAGCATGTCTCTTGGTATGGTCCTGGGGGTGTGGTCCCAGAGGGTGGGATAGCCCCTGAGAGCCTGGTTCTGGCTGTACTTCCTAAAAGGTATGGAACTTGACCCTAAGGGTGTGATTCCAGGGGGCTTGGTTCTGGAGGGCATGTTTTTGAGCAGGGCATGACTTTGGGTTGTGGTTCACAGGGGATGTCTGATACCAAGTGTGTGACTTGCAGAGGGATCTGCCTCCCAGAAGATGTCTTGGGGTGTGGCTTTCCCTGAGGGTGTGTCCCTGGGGTCTGGGGTCCCAGGGGTGTGACTGGCAGGAACATGACCCCTGAGGGCATTCTTAGGGGTGGGTTTGGAGGCCCCTGAGAGGTGGGCCCGGGGCCTCTTCCCTCCAGCCAAGTATTTGGCTCTGAGGGTGTTTCCGTCCAGTTTTTAGACTGCATCTTCCTAAGGTTTTAAAAACCTGAAGTTGGCGGTAGATCTTTCAGAGAAAAAAACAAATAGGGTTTGATGAGAACAGAGTCCACCTACTCTCTAAGCTGCTCCAGAGATCATGTCTCCCTTGGGTTTGTAAGGCCATTGTGTCCCATAGGAGAGTTGAGGTGCACGGGGTGGGGTGGGGGGGGCAATCTGGTGTATCCTCGCTGTGCTCAGCGTCTGCCTGGCAGTTTCCCTGCTGGTGTGGAATTAACAGGCGCTTGGCAAGAACTTGGATTGGTTTTGTAAATACACTATCTTTGCAGACGACTTACAGGACATAGATATGGCCCAAATCCAAGTTCTGTAGTAGTCAGGAGACAGGGAGAGGGAGGAAGGCCCTGGCGAGATGCACTGGCCCCGGAACTGCAGCGGGTCGAGTGCAGGGCCAACAGAGGACGGCTGGGGTGGGGAACACTTTGTCCTGGGGCGCTTGGCCTCGCTGTGGGTCAGGACAGCTTGCTGGCCTCTGACACCATCCTGACAGGACGCTGCGTGAAACTCAGCGGGCAGGGACGCGAAGGGTAAGCCTTAGTTGAGGGGGCCTAACTGAGGCTGTGGAATAGGATACTCCCTATCCGGTCCCAGGAGCTCTTGTCCCCTGGGGGTGTGCTTCCATCCCAGCTGTACTGGCTTGTCCTCTGGAGGACTGAGGTGGCATTTTCTCACCGACCTTGAGATCTAGTGGGGAATGTGGACCTTTTGGCCTGGGAGAATGGGCCGGCATCCACGGAGCTCTCCCTACCCAGCAGCAAAAGAGGCCACTGCCCTCTGTGACCAGACATGCTGCCCACAGATAGTCCTGGCTGCAGCTCTCCATGGTGGCCGGGCAAACGTACCTTAGCATTTCAGTGTTTCCTGAAACAATCGGAGACAGGCGACTCAGTGAAAGGAAACAGTGCTCCAGTGCTGCCTGCCTGTTCTTGAGCTCAGCTCGGGGGATCCCCTGAGCAGAGACCTAGAGCTCAGTGCCCCCCACCCCCCAGCTATGAGGTGGGCACTGTGACTGGATCTAGATTCCACTGAACTGAAGAAGGACATGGAATGGGGGGAGCAGGAGGGCAGCATCCTGTGCTGACCACACTCCCAGGTCACGCAGAGCCAAGCGTGCATGCCACATGTCAGAGCATGTCGGATGGAAATATGCTGTGACTGGCAGCTATGTCACATGTAAGCAGTGATGTCTCAGGCACTCTCTCAGTGAAACCCCCATCAGTACTCATTCTCAGGACCACCTTGAACCCCTGGGGAAAGAACCTGGGTGTGAGGGAAGTAAGCAGAGATTTCCTTTGCCTGTAGCTGTCCGCTTGGCTGTCAGTAAGCCAGTCTCTCCAGCTCTCGGCCTGTGTGCTGGTGGAAACCTGTACCCAGTGACTCCAAGCACCCACCATGCACTGTACCCCCCACATGCACACACACGCGCACACGCACACATGTACACATGACGTGTCTGGGTAGGCAGGTGGCTCAGCAGAGTCCCCAGGCCTGTCGGCTGCGTTCCCAGGCCACCCTTGCCCCGTAACCCAGTAGACTGCATGCAGGCCTAGCACCGGCTTCCTCCTGGGGGTGTCACCTGTTTGGGGTCTTGGTGGTGCTGGTCCTCTCACAGCTCTCTTTGAAGCACACGTCTTGGTGAACCTTGTACACTCTTTTATACCTGTTGTCATAAGAAAGCTGTGAAGAACCAGAACTGCGAACAGTGTGTTGCCAAGCAGATCCACCCGAGCACTGGGAGCCCAAAGATAAATGGGAAAGTGTTTACAAGAAAGGCTGTAATTTTCTAAATAAAATGTTATCTGTGGGTTTATCAAAACCTTCAATGTCAAGGTCTATCACTTATGAAAAAGTTTGCTGAGTTTTAAAAGCCCATTACCACTGAGTTGATTGACTTAGTGATCCTACAGGATGGACAGAACTGGCCCACGGCCGCCCCAGGGCCTCCTTTCAAGGCCAGCTCGGGACCCTCCCTGAAGCGGACTGTGGAGCCCACTGCCTCAGCTTTTCTGGCAAAGCCAGGGCTCTAACTGCTCACCTTTTGATGTGTAGCCATGTGCTTTTAACCACTGTGCTGGGTCTTCACTGAGGTACACCTCATTTAAAACAAGCCACTCATTAAGTGTGCATTTTTTCCCCCCTTTCTCTTTTCTTGTTGTGTACCGTTGAATTGGATCCAACTGACACAGGAAGAGATTGCTGCTTTTTCTCCAGCGGAGCATCTGGTGGATTCGAATCTCATGCCTTCAGGATTGCAGTGCAGCTTCTTGCCACTAGAGCTCACTCTAAGTGTACATTTTGGTGAAGTTTTTTTTAAAAAAAATGTCCAAAGATGAATGTGACATTTAATGACTTGTTTGATTTGAGGGATGCCGCCCAGCCCTGACTCCATTGGGAAGGCACCTCTTTTATGGGTCGCTCCAAGAGAAGCTTGAGAGGCCAGGGGATGTGGGCTTTGGCTGTGAGTGCTGTGGAGCTGTGGGACGCAGGGCCTGACTGGAGCCCTGCCTCTTCTGTTTACTAAGTACTTTGAGAAATCTGCTTGGAATGGATTAAACGTCAGTTTTCATGTAGAATCAAAATTAAGTTTGTAAATGATTAGGAATGAGAAAACATTTTGACCATTGTAAAAATTTTCAAATGTAGGGGGTGGGGTGGGCGGGGAGAAAAGTGCAACAATGAATGAATGGAATTCCAAAATCGCTGTAGATGTTCATTGAAATGAAAAAAAAAAATTTCAAATGTGAGAGCTATTTAAACTAGAAATCTAGAGTGTTTGAAGGGCAAACTTCCATGCTAAGTCTGTAAATCCTTATAATTTAAAGCCTTTCATAAAACTTCATTTTCAACCATGAGGGAATAAGAGGAACTGGAATCAACCTCCCAAAGTGAAAAATGAGAATTGGGCTGAGGTGAGCTCTGTGGTCCTCTGACCCTCAGGAGGGAAAGGGAACAAAGGGGACCCTGCGATGCCCGGGGATTGGCACTGTGCACAGCATTGCCTAGAGGGGAAAGTCAAGCAGCTGTCCCATTAAGTTGAGCAGACTGATAAGGATGGAGAGAAGAAGGCAGCAGGAACTGGAGAGTGTACAGGAGAGGAGTGGGCATGAACGCGACCACCTGCAGGGTCTACAGGCCCCTTGGACTGGGTTGGCTGTTGCGACCTGTGGGAGAAGCACTGCTGAGGGTCTGCGAGCTGCACAATTCCGAGTCAGAAAAGAGGTCTTTTGTGTGTAACAAGGCGTTTGGTAGGAACTTGAGAGGTCAGATCTTGGATGTAGAGAGAATTTGACACACTTGGGCCAATTGCTGTAGTCCCTGTGTCACTCTGTCTTGCTGAGGGTCTTCCTCTCTTGCTGATGCTGCACCTTTCCAAACTTGATGTCCCTTTCCAAGCAATAGCCTCTCCTAACAACGTGCACAAAGTATGTGAGGCCAGACTTCCCCGTCTTTGCCTCTACTTTCTCCAAGACAGACCTGTTTGATCTTCTGCAGTCTTTGTGGCCCACTGTATCCAGAACTCTTCTCTTAACACAACTCAAACCATTAATACTTCCTTCCTTCATTGTCCAGCTCACAGAGGCAGATGCGTAGCAGGTGATTGAAAAGAACATGGCCTGAATCAGGTGCATCTTAGTCTTTAAATTGACATCATTGCTCTTCAGCATTTTGGCAGGGTCCCTGATTGCAGGCAGACTTGTCCAGTGCAATACATCTCCTGATCTCCTTAATGCTGATTACCAAGGATGTTAACTGTGGATCCAAACAAGTTGAAATCTTTGACAATTTTCTATTTTCTCCATCTGTCATGTAATAGCTCAGTGGTGAGGAATTTTATCTTCTTGATGTTGAGGTGTAAATCCATACTGAAGGCTGTAGTCCTTGATTCTCTGCAGCAAGTGCTTCAAGTTTTCCTTACTTTGAGCAAGCAAGGTTGTGTCATCCTGCATAACGCAGGTTGTTGATGAGTCTTTCTATACTAGGACAACAGTGGTAGGGAAATGGGATGCTATCAAACAACTAATGCAGGTGGCAGAAGGAGAACAAAGGAGTCGGGATGGAGGGGACTAGTAGAGAATAAGCACCATGGTGGTAGGTACAGCCCAGCGCATCAGTGCTTACATCAGAGGTGAAAGATCTGAGCACTTTAAGAAAGGACAGAGATTGTCAGGATAGAAGGCAAAGTTCAAGGAGATAGTAAATACAAGAAGCTTGCTTTAAAGGTGCAGAGGAGGTGAACGGATGGCAACCTTGAGGTCTGTGATAGACCGCCCTCGTCAGCTAGCAGGTGGGTGTTTAACACACATGGCAGGCACCTGTGTAGCCAGCTCAGCTGGACGGTGTGTGCACTGTGGACTCCACTAGCAGTCCCCAGAATCCGGGTCCAGATGCTATGGAACACACACCAGATCCCAGTGTGAACCCGTTCCTCCGAGGCTTTGTGCTACAACCTAAACCTAGCTTCAAGTCCAAGTGCACGTCCAGCACTCCCCTACTGTCTGAGTGCAGCTGAGGGGTCTTCCAAACAGCTGGTGTCCTTACGAGGTCGCCTGGCCTCACGTGCTTCTCACTCCAACCCCTGCAAGGCTGCTTGGCCACAGAGCTTCATCCCGTCCTCAGATGGCCCCACCCCCATCCTCAGATGTCACAGCTCGGCCACAGAGCCCCGTCCCATCCTCAGATGTCACTCTGGTCAATCACAGTGCCCCTTGTCCTTCTTTAATTGTACCATAGAGGCACTGTCTCAGGATCTACCGTGATCATCTACCTGGAATGCTTTCCCCTCAGGTTCCCCAACTCGTCCAAGCTGCTTTCACCTTTTTGGTGCTATGGGAATAAAGTATTTGGTTGCCAACTGAAGACTACTGTTTTGAACCCACTGGCCCCTCCTCAGGAGGGAAATGAAGCCATCTGCTCTGCAGGCAGCAGCTCTCTGCCCCACAGGGTCACTGTGAGTGAGAACTGACTAGCAGTGACTTTGCCCTGGTTCCTGCTGAGTGCTGCAGCCTGCCCCTCCTGGGGCCCCATTCACCTCTTTCCTCGTCAGTACCATCACCTAAAGACAGTGTCAAGTGCACACAGTGTGCAGAACGGGTCCCTGCTGTGGAATGCAAGGTCTTGAGGGCAAGACCTTTGCTTTCATCCCTTGGTGTCCCTGTCACAGACCCCAGTGCTGCAGTTAATCCAAAGGTGGGTGGCATACGCCCTGCCAGCTACTTCAGAAGCAGCAGTCTGCACCTCAGTGACTTCCAGCCTTGGGAAAAGACCCTAAGGGACAAGCCTGCCCTGCCCTGTGGGGTCACTGAGTGGACACTAATTCAACAGCGGTATCTGCTAGTGCTCAAGTGTCTAGAACTGTGCCTGGAATTCAGGTGCACAGGTTGTGACCTGCAGACTCACAGAGCACTAATAAAGTGGGACCTCGGAAAGACCTCCCCCACTGCAGCCCTCTCCAGATGGGGAAGCAGTGGGGAGTGTGGGCCCTGGCCCCGGGGACTCTGGGGCACGAGGAATCTGCAGTTGCCATGACAGGCATTTCCTTCCTCAGGACGCCCTCAAGAGGGACCTGAGATGCTGGACCATGGGGTGTGGACAAGGGAGGCTCTGAGTTCAGAGCCGGGGCCCAGCCTCTAGGCATCCGCGCTAAACTGCATCTCATTATGCTCACCTGTTGTGGAGGTAACAGATGGCCTTTTTCAAGCCACCCTTCCTGCTTGGGAGCCTGTGAGATGTGGGTAAATGTTAAGCCAAAAGTACAATATGATTAAGGCCACGAGAGACCAACTTACACATGGTGACAGACGCCACCTTCCCAGACTGGTACGGACTTGGTCTCGGAGAACAGGCGTGTACAGGGTTGGGGCGTCTTAGTGCAGGCTGCAGTGTGAACAGGGAGGAACCACTGCTCAGAACGAGCCCCGCCAGGCCCGAGCCCGTGCCTGCCGCCCACTGCTCACTCCCTGCGGCTGCCCTGGCCCTTTGGCCGAGGGTCAGCTGTGTTCAGCCCTCTGTCCCTGTGGCCTCTTGCTGTGTCCTGCCCCTTCTTGGACCTGAGCCCACAGGTGATCTCCCTGAAGCATGCCCACCCTCCTCTCCTAACTCCTCCCAGTGCCCCCAGGCCCTGGACCTGTGTCACCCCATCTGTCCCTGGATTCCCCATGTCCTTGAGCTGAGGCCTTGGGATTCATGTATACTTTCTGGCTCTAGGGCTCTGAGAAGCCCAGCTTGTCCAGCCCAAAAGTGAGGAAGCTCCTTGGCGAGCCCGCCTGGGCCCAATCCTGAGCCAGTGTTGGTGGAGCCTGGGTTCAGAGGCCTGGTGGTGGGTGCAGAGATGCCCACCTGGGGGACAGGGCCTGGTGGTGGGTGTGGAGATGCTGCCCAGGGGCCTGAGGGCCTGGTCCACACTCACCAAGCTCGCAGTGCTGGCCTTTGAAGCCTGGGCTACAGGTACAGGTGTGGGTGTTGGCACCCTCCACGCAGGTGCCCCCATTCTGACAGGGGTTTTTCAAGCAGTCCCTGGAACCATCTGCAACACAGCCAAGAGGCTCCATCAGGCGAGGGTGCTGGCCCTCCGCAAGCCTTCAGAGAAGGGGTCTGGCAGGCACCTTCTCTCCTGTGCTCACGTCACAGGGTCAGAGCATGCTGGTCTTGACCTCATGACAGTTGAGGAGGGTGGAGAGTGAGCAGAGATGACAGAGCTCCTGGAGAGAGGATGGTGTGAAAGGAGAGTGGGCGGAGTAGGGTAGCAAGTGAGAGGAGAGTGGCTGGAGCATGGATGGGCAGAAGAAGCAGTTTTCAGATGCTTAGCCTCTGCCCCTCCTGTCGCTCAGATGCTGGATAATGCTGTGGTCACCTTAGGAGACCCAGCTGGCCCCAGCTGCTTCCACTAGGAGAGTCATAATTCCCAGAGAACCCTGTCGTCTTCCCCACCCCCACACCACCTGCCTTCAGGGCGGGCAGCCTCCCTCTGTGGGGCCTGCTGGCCACCTAAGGAAGTCCTGACCTGAGTCCCCAGGGTCACTGTTCTTCCCACAATGCAGTGAAGGGCAGAAGGGACCAGTGGGGAACAATTAATCCCCCAAAAATGCTCTGGCTTGCTTCTGGTTTCAATACAAGACTTGTTTGAAGTCTCAAAAAAATCCAGAGAACTACAGTGAGGGGTGTGTGTGTGTGTGTGTGTGTGTGTGTGTGTGTGTGTGTGTATGTGTGTGTGTGTACACAGACGTGCATTCCAGTGCCTTACCACAGATGATATTCCAGAAGGCACACTTACTACCTCGTCCTCCACACAAGGTACTGCACCTACACACAGCCCACTCTTCGTTGGGCCCCACAAGCTGGGGGGGGGGGCTATGACTGCAGGCCAGCCCCTCAAGGCAGCGAGTGTCCCTCTCAGCTGTCCATTGTCTTCTACCACTCCACCTGCTGCCCTTGGGCCACCCTCATGTGGTCACTGGGATCGGGACTTTAAAGCACTTTTATTAGTAAAGACCAAGATTCCCTTCCCCACTAGCTGTCAGCACAATTTAATATACAATGTAATACCCACTAAGAAAACAAAGCCAAGCCAAGTAACGTGATAACAAAATGGGCAGAGAGCTGGAGTCAGTAACAAGGAAAGAACTCAGCTGGCATTTATCAAGTAAGAGAACTAAAACCCAAACACAAGTGTTGAGTTGTCCCACTGAGAGATGTGCTGGGCAAAATCCTGAATGGACCAGGAAGCATCAAAAGAGGATGAACAGAATTCACAGAGTCACTGTGCCGAAAAGTACCGATCAACTCTGAAATAATTTCAGGAAGCAGCATATGATTAAGAGTCCATGGTAGATGGAGAAAAGATTGAAATTGTCATCAGTTTTATCTTAGTTGGATCTACAATCGACATCCTTGGAACCAGCAGCCAAGAAATCAAAAGACATGTTGTATCATGAAAGTCAGCTGTCAGGGATCTCTCCGAAGTACTGAGGAGCAATGATGTCAGTTTAAAAATGTAAGGTGCGCCTGATTCAGGACATGGTTATTTCAGTCACTTGCTATGCGTCTGAGAGTTAGATAGTGAATAAGGATGACAGAAGAATTGATGCCTTTGAGCTGTGCTGGAGAAGAGCACTGAACATCCCATGGACTGCCAAAAGAACAACCAGGGTGAAGGAAATGGGAAAGCTCCTGTGTGGAATAATAAATAACAACAACAACAACAATGTCTTAAAGTAAGTGCAGCCAGAGTGCTCCTTGGGGGCAAGGATGGTGAAGCTTCATTTCACGTCTTGGACATGTTACTAGGAGAGTTTTATTCCTTAGGGACATCATGTTGGAGGGTTAGCAAAAGAGAGGGAGACCCTCAACAAGATGGATTGACACAACCAATGACAGCAGCAGTGAGCTGTGTCACAGATGATGAGGATGGGACAGGGTTCAGCACCCAACAACAAGAAAACGCCTCCCACTGACCCCACGAGAGAGGGTTTCTGAGACTGTCGCCTTGGATGCCAACTGCCAGAGCTGTCTGCCACGGAGCACTAGTGCGCTACCAGCCTCACCGATGCAGACCCCTGTGCCACCGAGCACTCCTACATAGCACTCCTGTTAGTGACAGGCCTGCTGGCATCACATGTTAGGCATTGCACTGGTAGCCAAAGGGTAGGCGGTTTGAGGCTCTCAGCTGCTCTGTAGGAAGTCGGGCTCTCTTCTGTGAGCTCCCAGCTGAGGCCAGTGGACGGTCACATGTGGCGGCATCTCCTTGAAAGCAGTGGGCTGACCATCACCAGGACCTGTAGTCATGGTCAGTCTTCCTGCTCACTCAGGTGGGCGTCTTACACGTACTCTAGTCTTAGCGGGGTTCACACCACAGGGCCCCGTGTCTACCACATGTCCCTCCCGACTAGAGGCAGAGCTCATGGTTTCTCACAGCAGCCGTATATCCTCTACCCCCAGGAGGCTCCTTCTGGCCTCGGCAGTCTCGATGTGGGACTGACCCTGTCCAGGCCCCACAGCCTCCTTTCTGGGGGTGGGGGGAGGATGTCTGGTTCTGCTGTGTATTGGCTGGGAAGTCTCCCCTGATCCCACTTCAACTTACGCTCGCTGTCTGTGCCGTCAGGCTGGCTGTCCAGGCTGCCACGCTCACTGTCCTTGTCGCCTTGCTCAGACAGCTGCAGGGCCAGGCTGATGGGCTCTGGGACCTCCACTGGATTCTCCAGCTGAGCCAAGGCTGTGGGTTCTAGGACAGCCAGGCCTTGAAGGGTCACTGGGGGTCTTGTATGCTGTTTCTGCTTCGGGGCCCAGGGCACCTGGCCATCACAGTCCAGCCTGTGACTGCCTACCTCTATTGACCCACTGTCCCTCCAACTCTAGGCCACCGATGCTGCAGGTCTGTCCCACTGCCTGCCTTGTGGACCAGTGCTACCTCCCTCCCAGCTCTCCTCCCTCCCACCTGCCCACCTGGCCATGCCCTGCCTGGTGCCCTGACCACACGCTCTCCATTCAGTCTGCTCCTGGGCCTCTCTTCCCACCACCCAGTCACCCCTCTGCTCAGCTGGTCAGTAGGGCTGGGGTGTCTGCTCATGCTTTGGTGTTCCTTGCATTCTCATTACTTGGACTGACCCCTTACACAGTGGACCTCATGTCTCAGACTGCAGGAGGGAAGGGTGGTTGGGCCTCAACTCCACACCCCCAGCACCAGGTATGACAGCCCTGGGCCCTTCACTTGAGCAACACAGAGAGGCTCTCTGCACCTTTCACCCTCTGCTGCCCAGTGATCTCTGACCCCTTGGCTGCTCAGGCAAAGCTGACCATAGTGCTTGGCCTGCATCCCCTAGCATGCCTGCCAGCATCTGGTGCTTCACGTACCTCCCTGGGATGCATCACCTCCCACCCCGAGTAGCCTGCGCTTCACTTCCAGTTCACACTGTGCAGAGACCCCTGATGTGTCCTCTTCAGGACTGGCCTGTGCTTTCCCCTCCAGTTAACACAGGGCAGGGGCCCCTCATGTGTCCCCCCCCCCAGGGTGGCCTGTGCTTCAACCACCATTTCACACAGGGCAGGGGCCCCCAGTGTGTCCCCCTCTTTGGGAGTGGCCAGTGCCGGCCCCCAGGCAACAGCGAGCTCAGCCTCGCCCCCTGTGAGGCTCAGTCCTGTGTGTCTGTCCACACTGGCCTGGGAGCAGAGGTCAGGTCCTCACTGAGGAGAGCTCTGTGGGAGGTGGGGAAACTCACCGGTCCTCATGGTCACTGGCTTGCTGGACAGGCTGCCAAAACTGGCACTCACACGTTGTCTGCCGTCCACCACCTCTGAGAATCTGTGGGAAGAAGCTGGACATCCTGACCACTGTCTGGAGTGACAGCCTGGCCCAGGGGCCCTGGGTGGGTAGCTGGCCTGTACCTGGAGGGCTGGGTTGGTGTTTCGGGGGCACTCCGGTCACTGAGCAGGCGTAGCTCGGGCAGGCGAGCTGGAGGAGGCCTGTTTCTGAGGATACGGGGGTGTCCGCCCTGGCGCCAATGTCTGTCACTGTTGTCCCGCTGGGCTGCTAGTGGCAAGAGGGACATGGCTGTGGGGCTCTGTCCCCTTACATACCATGTAGGTACCAAGTATACAAGTGGTGTGGCAGGGAAGCTGCAGCTTCTGGGGGAGCCCTGAGGTCACCCTACCTTATCCTGACCTCATCTCTGGCCTCTGTGCTATTGGTTGAGGACTGAGTCTGGTGCAGTGATGGCCTTCCAGGCTAAGGTTCTCAGAGGGACATGTAACCCTCAGCATGCACACTCAGCTTGGGCCCTTCCCCCTGGGTACCCCACATTCACACCTTGTTCTGCTACTTGGCTCCCTGGAGCTGTCCACTGGGCTTAGCGGGAAGCTAACCAACAGCTCTGAGCATAATGCACAGGACCCATGGGGGTGGACTTGGAGGAGGGACAGGGGATGGAGGGTGTCTTGGGCCCCTCATGCCCCCTGAGGGACCCCCCCAGACCCTGTACTTGACTCATGCAGGCCTGTTCATGGCCACCTGTCCAGGTGGGACATGACTCTAAGTTCAGTGTGGCCTGGCTCTGCATTCCCAGCAGCTTCCCCTCCCCTGATACGCTCTTGCACCCTACTCCTCACAAGTGTTGCACGTACAGGTGAGAAATGCAGGCATGGGAACTTGACCCCTGCACTCTAGCAGTTGCTCCCAGGTCCCTCCCCCTTCCTTCAGAGGCACCTCGTGTACAGGTGATAATGGACAGAGGATGATGGACAGGTGATAGTGGACAGGTGATGGACAAGTGATGGAAAGGTGATAGTAGACAGGTGGTGATGGGCAGGTGATGATGGAAAGGTGATGGTGGACAGGTGATAGTGGACAGGTGATGGTGGACAGGTG